AATAATAATAATAATTAGGTATTGGCAAATGATGAGGTGTGGCTTTCAAGCGTGTGAAGGGAGGGTGGGATTCACGTGAACGGCCCACCCCGAAAGTTCACACGTGAGATTCCAAACGTTAGGCTGTCAATCATCAATTCGGTTTTTGCAGTTGGTTCCAAAATATATATATATATATATATATATATATATATTTCTGGTCTTTCAAAATTCCAGTATAACATTTTATAAAAATCTTAGACCATTCCTATAAAATACTTTGATACATACGTAACACATTTCATTAATATAATACAAAATTTACTATTAAATTAAATGGATTTTTTATGCATAGTTCAAATACCGAAAAAAATCATTTAAAGTACAGAAATCAAAATATATAAAATATGAATTAAAATAAGATCAAGACATCAAAATTCGTTTTTTTTATTTTAATCTTAAAAAAAGTCATCAAAATTCCATAAAATATTCCTTGGTAAAAGTTTTGAATATATGTCAAAGCGAGCATAGTTAGCGGTAATTAGCACATATTTCAACCTAAGAAATTGTGAGTTTAAAATCTCACCCCACATGTTGTACTAAAAAAAGTTTCCAATATATACTAGCCTTCTAGAAAATGATTAAGATATTAACAACGGCTCGGAATTTCTTTTTGAAATAAAAACTACTAGGAATTTGGTTGTTTTTTTCAATAATTAAAATTTACTCTAATTCATGCATCATCATTTTTCTGGACAAATTATTCATGCATCAATCTTATAAATTTTGAGGTTTAGTCCATTTCCAATATTCAAAGTAGAAGATGACTATATGATTATATATATTAAAGAGACGCGTATTACTTATACCGATGGTAATAAATGATTAAATTTAATATTAAAAGGACTCATTTAAATAGACAGTTATTTAATATTATTAATCTAAAAATTTAGACGTTGAATTAAATAAATATTTGAACCCATTAATGAAAATATATAAAATAATGAAAATTTTGAAGCAACGGATAAGAGGTAAGGGTGTACACATGGGTTAGATTGGGATTGGGTCTTTAAATTGCTAAAATTTGGAAATTTATTAAATACTTGTAAACAAATTAACTACCTTAAGAGGCTGGGAGCGAAAAATGTAAGGGAAGTTGTGGTAGGTAGCAAACTCTATTATGTAAGTAAGAATTTTCGAATATATCAAATACTCATATTAGTAGTATATCAGTAACTTATATTAGTATTATAGTAGATGTATATCACATATTTTACATTCATATCAGATGTATATCACATACATATTGCAAGTACTATATCAAATATTTATATCAGTAATATATCAGATGTATATTACATACAAATATTAGTAGTAAGATGTATTACAGATGCATATCATTTGTGTAAACTTATCAAATTGGACCTCTGTTTTTTCTAAAAGATGTGATATTTGAAAAACCTAAATGTGATTACTATTTTGTTAATTTTACTAAATATTTTTCACATACTTGGAACTGCTCAAGGAAAGGATAAGGTGAGAATATGAACCCTAAAAGATATAATATTTTTGTTACCATGTACAGGATGCCGGTTCGAGTTGAGTCGACAAAAAAATTTCCATCCGCAAACCGAACTAATTTTTTAATTTTGCAAAAACCCAAATCGAATTATTGGAACGCCCCTAATAAGAGCAAATAAATGTACAGAGAAGAATGGAGCATGGTGTAAAGGGTAAGGACATCTCGAAACCCTAAAAAAAGCGGTTATGTGTGGCTTTCGGACCACACATACATGTCACAAACCAAGCCAACCTTTGTCTTAACCCCAACCTACGTCACGTGCTAATAATAATATTTTTCTAAATAAATTACTTTCAAAATTTACCAATTTTTAGATCAAATATTTAAATTTCCATAAAAACAGAGTATCCCGACCAACCTGTTACATTAGAGAGAAAGTACGTTTTGAATTCATTTCCTCTAATTTTTTTTTTTCAATTTTTTTCGTAGATCCACCCATCATTTATAATAATATTGTATTATTTTTTTTTAACTTTTCTACTGATTTGAATTATTGAAAATTAGTTGAAGATAATTGTTACGTAATATTTATAATTATTAAATTTATAAAATAAAGATTAAAAAGATACATCTAATTATCATCTTTTTTATTTCTTATTTTGCTGGTGAGATGATACTTGTCAGTTTAGTTCACTTTTCTTTGTACCTTGATTTTCATTTGCTTATATTTTACTAGGGCTCTTAGAAATACTAGCGAATCCAATCTGTAACGCTATTTACGAAATGACCAAACTGACCGTACCATATAAAATTAAATTTAATGAAATTAAGGTTTTCAGTAGGGCATTTTGGTCATTCATGACTCAAGGGGGAGCTAGTTGTAATTGGAGGTAAGGCTTTGGGATGACTCTGTGCTGTCCCCATCTTTTATTTTATTCCGCATTCGGTTCCCTAAAGGTCGTTTGCTAAAATAACCATCACGGGTGAGGTGACGTGTCCAATTTCAAAATTAATTTTATTAAATATCAAAGGGAAAAAGAAAATAACNTATGGGCAGGTAATATCGTTGCATCACAATGTTGGAATAATTCAACAAAAAGGTTACGAAAGCAACTATTTGTTTAGTTTTTTTAATGGGGGATTAATTGAGACGGCTTGAGGGTTTGTTTTTTTGGTAGCCACTTTTGAATTGCATATTCTTTTATTAAATTAAGGGAGTGGAAATGAAGCATATGATGTAAGAGCTAAAGCGATAGGAGACGTTTGAGATTAGGGCGAAGTGTTTTAGGCGAGGGATGTTAGTTTAGAGATAAGGTAGGTATGATTATGATTGGAAAGATGAATATGTCACACCCGAGTAGAGAGAAGCGGTACATCAACTGACGCCACATTTGAGTGAGAGATCTTGAGATCATATAAGCATAATAAGAAATGTTTAAAAAAAATTAATAAGAAACTCCAAAACTGATGTGTTTCCTTGAGAAACCTTATTGATCTTGGAGGAGACCTGTATTTTTATGGTCATTTATTTTGAAGCATGAACTTTGATATACGAGAAAATGGATGTTGTGGTTAAATTCGAACGATAGTATTATCTATACTCCAAATGATAGATGATTAATTGTCTCTGCATCTTACTTCGTGTAATTTCTATTTTACTTTTTTATATAGCTAAGTTTTTATTAGAGTTTGCTAAAATAAGTGAGATTTATTTGTATAAGACTTTTTACTTTGATCATAAATATTAAATGGTTAGTTTTCAATCATGAGATAGAGGTCAATAATAATCGTTGCTTTCTTTTTTCTTTGTTTGTGAAATAATATAATATTGGTTGCTAGCCTAATAAAATAGCTTGACCATTTTGTTTCTCTTTCTATTGGACTATACGATATATAATATGATTTCAACCTTTTCTCTGTGAAGTCATCACAAATTGGAATATGCTTGGGAATGTGATTGAATTGAAATTAGTCTTGCAACATAAACTTTTGAATTCAATAAATAAACAAGCTAATATAACTCTACAAGGAAACTTATAAGTTTTAAGCAATTAGTGTCAATATTTGAAGTCAACAAA